CCCGGGCTGGGGATTCGAACCCGCCACCTTAGGTGTATGTGGCTGGCGCCTTAGCCGCTTGAGCCACAAGCGCTGAGCCATTTTATTTAATTTTGTCATCTCCTTATCATACCATTATATCCATTTAGAGCAGTGATTTTCAACCAGGGCACCACAAAAAATTTTTAAAGATCATTAATTAAAAGATCATTAATTATTCTGAAGGAAGTTCAAAGCACAGGATATTCATTTTTTACTTTTTAAAATTAACATAATGCAAGTTCAGAAGTTTCACTATAATTTTAAGTGTGCCATGAGATAAAAAAGGTTGAAGAACACTGATTCAGAGACAAGGAAAATGATGCTGGCAGACATTAAGAAATGTTTCTAGGCCTGGCACCCGAGGCATAGTGGTGAGGGCACCAGCCACATACACCAAAGGTGGCAGGTTTGAACATGGCCAGGGACAGTTGAACAGCAATGGCAAATGTAACAAAAAATAGCTGGGAGTTGTGGCAGATGCCTATAGTCCTAGCTACTTGGGAGGCTGAGGCAGGAGAATCGCTTAAGCCCAAGAGATTGAGGTTGCTGTGAGCTGTGACTCCACCGTACTCTACCAAGGGTGACATAGTGAGACTGTCTCAAAAAAAAAAAAAAAAAAAAAAGTGTTTAAGGTTATACCGCTGGAGGGTGGTAGAGAGGGATTTAAAATCCAGACTGTCTATCCCTGGAGCTTCTGTCACAGATATTCCCATAAGGTCTCTACAGGACAAAGGCCTCAGAGCTCAATATAGGCAAGTCTGGCCTTTGGTAACAAAAGACTGAACCCTAACAGCCCAGTCTACATGTGTCTCATACTGAATTTTATTCTATACAAATTCTTTATAATGAGGTTCTAGCAGCTGGTTCAGAATAAACAAAAATCAACATAAAGAAATGTAGACTTGGCTTGGCACCTATAGCTCAGGGGCTAGGGCACCACCCACATACATTGGAGTTCACAGGTTCAAACTCAGCCCGGGCCTGCCAAACAACAATGACAACTATAACCAAAAAATAGCCAGGTGCTGTGGTGGGCGCCTGTAGCCCCAGCTACTCGGGAGGTCAAGACAAGAGAATCACTTGAGCTCAAGAGTTTGAGGTTGCTGTGAGCTGCGATGCCACACACTCTACTGAGGTCAACATAGTGAGATGCTGTGGTGGGCGCCTGTAGCCCCAGCTACTCG